ATGTGTGATGAGCCTCCTCCTGAGCAGTGGAAAATTTAAACAGTAAAATGTTATTCTTGAAATAGATGTTATTTAATATTTAAGACAGGTCCTCCTTGTTCTTGACATTATTATACCCAGATTCAATTTCAGGAACTCTAGGGGTCCCTGTAGTTCGAATGAACTAATTAAATGCATGGAATGTTCCTCTGCAGTTTCCACTGACCATCTGGGGGCCACAGTGCATTTTTTAAAATAAAACAGCTAAAGTCTGAAAATAGATGGAGTTCCCCACCCGCCTTACCTACTAGATGGTGTAGGGGTTGGGTGGATGTTCTAAGTTAATTCATTGATTTGTTCGTTCATATGCCAAGCATTGTAAAATCCAGTGGGAAGAAAAATTAAACATGACATAGTCCCTGACGTCCAGGAGCTTGCAGGAAGGCAGCAGCACCTGTGACTGGGGAAAGCCGAGTGGCCACTGGAGGCTCGTCCACAAGGTGGGTGGGTCAGCCTCAAGCTTCTCTTAGAAGGAATGGGGGTGAGGGGCTGGAGGCGTTGCTGGCGAATGAATGTAAACTCCACTCCTGGCATCTTAAGTTGGGGGTCACCTAGCGACATGTGGTCTCTATGTAAAGGTCAACAGAGATGCACCAAAAACACCCCAGGAGATTTTGATATATTTTTGGAGTGGATTGAACAAAATAGAAATGGAGCGTGATGGGGAACTATTTCAGTTTCTGCTGGAGTTAAAACTGATCATTTAAAAAAATTATATCCCAATAGTTTGCTCAGTTTCTGCCTCTCTTAATCCAAATCCTGATGTAAAGTATTCTACTTGGAAACTGAATGAAAATGTTTTTCAAGGATGTTCTCAGGGTATAGCTCTGGTACTGAAATCTGAGGGACTCATACATTTAACTGGCAAAGACCATTGAAAGCAAAATTTTCCAAAAGGGGGGCCGGCCCTGTGGCCGAGTGGTTGAGTTTGGGCGCTCTGCTTCTGCGCCCGGAGTTTCAGCTGGTTCAGATCCTGGGCTCGGACATGGCACCGCTCACCAGGCCACGCTGAGGTGGTGTCCCACATGCCACAACTAGAAGGACCTACAACTAGAATATACAACTATGTACTGGGGGACTTTGGGGAGAAGAAGAAGAAAAAAAGAAGATTGGCAACAGATGTTAGCTCAGGTGCCAATCTTAAAAAAAAAAAAAGTAAAGGCTCAGGCTGTGCCTGTGGAAATCTAGTCATCATTATTTTGAACAAAACCTTTAAAAATAGCATTTACCATCAGGGGTCCAGTCTTAATTAGAACTGAAGCTGGCAGGAAGCAGCTGTGTGCAGGCACGAAAAGCAGCTTCCGTCAGAGGAGATTCCGTCCCTCGGCACCGGCGGGCCTTGGGGGTCTGCCCCTCACTCCCACGTGGGGTTCGCAGGGTCCACCGTGGCTCTGCGCTCCGTCTGCAGCTGGAGGCCACATTTCTAGATACAAGAAGTTTCAACGTTTCGTCAACTTTAGTGTTCTGGGTGGTTTTCTTTTTATTCTGGAATCCATAAGGAGGAGGGCAATACGTTTTTAACCATTAAATGTCAACAACGCATGGTCCCTGATTTTACAAAAACATATAAACACCAAATTCCATTATTTCACGGTTTTGTAGTGGGTGAGGGGTGGTGGTAGGACACAAACGAGCGAGGCCTTTGGCATGCGTGGAGAGGTGGGGGCTGCAAACACTGTCTTGACCAGGCCCACCAGCCCGGGGCCAGCTCGGTCCGCGCCCCCCGGGAGGGGGGCCGCCGCGTGTGCAGGCGACGTGCCGCCAGTGGGCGCCGCTGTTCTCCTCGAGCCCCCGCGTCTCCGGGAACGCCGGCGCCCTGGACAGGGTTAGGGAGCGGGGGCGCCGAGAGGGAGCCCCCGCGGAACCGCAGCCCCTCGGCGCACGGGCCCCGCGGCCGCGCCGGGGCGCTCCAGCCCGAGCCTGCACGCCCGCCCGTGCGCACGCCCGTGTGCACGCGCACCCTCCCGCTCCGCCCCGCCCCGCCGCCCGGGCGTGCTCCTCGGAGCCGCGGGGCCTCCAGGACGCGGGTGAGTGCCGGGCCCGCCGCCGACCCCCGCGGGGTGGGGGAGAGCGCTGCCCGGGCGGGGCGTAGGGGGCCTCGCGGAGCCGGGGGCGGCCGCGCGCTCACGGGCGCGCGGACAGGAGCCGGAGGAGCCCCGGGCGCTCGCCGGCGCGCGGGAAGATGCTAAGCAGCCCGCGGGGCGCTCGCACAGGTGCGCGGAAGGCGGCCGCCCCAGCCCCGGCGCTCGCACAGGTGCGCGGGAAGAGGCCCATGCGCATGCGCGCCGGAGACCACCGGCGAGGGCTCCGCGTCCCGGGCTCGGGTGGGCGCCGGGGTGGAGGGCGAGGCGCAGAGCGGCGAGGTAGGGGTGGGCCCCAAGGGGAAGGCAGCGGCGAGGCGCCCCCGGAGGCGGAGGATAAGGGCAGCGGGTGGCGGGGACTAGCGCAGAGGCGGGGGAAGTGGCCGCGGGGGCGAAGGAGGTGGCCGCGGGGTGGCCCTGCTCGTGGTGGGGGTGGGGGGAGTGGCGTGGGCGGCCTCCGTCCCTCCCCGGGCGCCCGCGTGCAGCGTTGGGGGCCAGCCCACGGGGATCCCCCAGTGCCCTCCTCCGGGAAGCGGGTGGCGAGGGGGACGGGCTACCGCGCTCGGTCTCGAGGACGAGCCCCGCGCTGCGCCCGCGCGGACCACCTCCGAGGACACGGCCCCGGCCGCCGATCGGTGTCTGCGCACCCAGCCCCGCCGGAGCCAGGCCCCCGCGCTCCCCGCGCCCCCGCCGCCGGGCCGAGCGTGCTTTGGGGATTCGGCCCCCGGGCGCCGTGGCCACGTTTGCGGCTGGCGGAGGCCGGCCGGTCCCCCTCCTCCGAGGGGCTGGCCTGGGCCTGTGCTCTGCACGGCCTGGGCCCGCGCGGAGGGGAGGGACGTGCTGGCGGCTTGGCCAGAGGCCGGGCCGCGTGTCCGCTGGCACCGCACGATTTCTCCCCCATCGCCCCTTCTGTGCGCCCGGCGGCCGCGGGCCGGACCCCCAGGGCCTGCCCTGGATTGCTCGGAGCTCGTGCGGGGCGGGGGTAGGGGGTGCGGGGCTAGTGAATACCGAACGCTTTCTTTTCACGGAACCTGTGCCCCACTGACCGAGCCAGTCCGCCCATGCAGTGCCGTCGCCTGTGTTTGAACGTGCCTGACATCACGATGGGGGCGGGGGTATAAAAAGGAGCATTTAAATAAACACCGCGTGTGACTAGCTCACCCCACACCAGCGACTTAAAGATGTCTGGAGTGGAGTTTAAACTCACTTGCCAGCCGCACCTCCAGCCCCCCCCCCCCCGACCCCGCCCCAGGGCTGGGGAGCCCCCTCCTGCGCGGGTCTGGGCGGGCTTCGTGGGGGGGGTGGTTCCCTCTGCTCAGGCGTGGCTGCTCCCCTAACAGTAAATAAGAAAGATCTTAAAAAATTCCACCACCTCTTGGGTTCCTACGGAACGATGTTCTCTCTCTCCACCTCCCCCCCCCGCTCCATATCTATTCTAAGGGAAAAGAAAAAGAACAAACCAGTGTATGAAGCTTCATTTCTACTGAAACCGCTCAAGGCCCGTTACCGTCAGATTTCAAATTCCTGCACGTCCCCTCCAGCACCGAGTGAACCAAGAGTTCGCTCTGTTCCTGGCCTGTTCTCGGCGCCTCCTTTCCATTTCTCATTAAAACAGCCGTTCCTCGGACTGTAATTAGGAACCGCTCGTGGATGCGGGGTCGCCCTTGAGCCCTGTATCCTCAGCTAATGGCGCCCTGTTCTTAGAAACTCCTGTGGGCGGCCTGGAGCGCAGAAGGGCTTTCCCTGGCCTCTGACGTGCTCCGGGGCAGCCTGCCTGGGGCCTTCCGTCTCTCGCTTCTGGGTGTAACTACGCCATAATTATAATGAGATAAAAAGCTTTTTGAGCTTTTAATGGCAATTGCACTGGGATTGCTGGTAATATAGTTAGAACACACAGAATGAAAAGAGTTAAAAGATTTTGCTTATAGTGTTGAAGGCAATCTTGGGCTTGGGAGGAGAGGGGGAAAAAACGAGTTAAATGTTGTCATCTTAGAACAGGACTAAATACATCCCCAGGCAGCCTGACTTTCTATGCGGTCGTCTTGCCTTCCTAGTGCCTGGGCGTGCATGTAGGGACGGCCCTACGGGGACCCTCAGAGCACTTTGCCTGTCACTGGGAGATGGAAGAATCTGAAACTGTGGTGGTGAGACCACCCTGCATCTTTGAACATCTTTTCAGACAGTCTCTATTGCTTCTGATTCTATTTGCATACATCCCAAGACAAGAGGCAGGCTTGGCAAAGGGAGAGCAGAAGGTCTCTTTTTAGCTTAAAATATGATTTTGGCGTGTTTGTCCCTAGACTGAGACAGAGAGGCTCTCCAAGCTCGGAACGTGCCATCTGGGATCACATTTCAGTTTTCTAAATACCAACAGCATAAACGGCTCACGAGTAATAGCCTCACAGGACTTCCTGAGGCAGCTGTGATGCCCCTCGGTCCCGCACCCCCCAGGCTGTGTGACGCAGGAGGACCACTGCCGAATGGGCTGCGGAGGGGCCTGGGGAGGCGGCCGGTTGGCGGAACAGGAGCCAGCTGTGGCATTTTGAACATCTTGCCCCCGTGACCCAGGGTGATGTCTGCTCTCCCCTGGAGTTCACGGGATGATTGTCCCCATTGTGGCCTGGATTTCGGTTTTTCTCTTGCAATTATTGTAATTATGCTAAAATTATAGTGTTGGTACCCAGCACATATTTTCGAAATTGTGAACGATGAGCAGTAACTTTTGGAATAAAATAAAAATTTCTAGGAGTTTACCTTTTGCCAAAATCCAGCTTCTGCTAGAAAGGATATTAAAGTAAGATAAACAATGCCTTGGAAATGGAAACTGTTGCATGTCCTGTGCAATGTTGGACGGATTAAAAATTAATTTCCTTCTTTCAGAAATAGAGTTGAATGTCTACCTCGGGTCACGCAGTGTTCCAGGTGCTGGGGATACAATGGCGAGTGAAATAGACCCCGTCCCCTACCCCTTGCAGCCTAGACTCTAATAAGGTAAATGGCATTAATTATATAATCATGTTGATTCATGTGTGATAACAATCGAGACCAGAGCTCTGAAGGAAAAGAAACAATTACAAAAGCATCTGAAGGATAGGAAGGGAGATCACATGCAAAGGCCCTGTGGTGAGGAGTAGGGCCCATTGGAAAGTGTAAGGGAGGCTGGCAAGGAGCACCTAGAGTGGAGTGTCCTATTTGTCACATAATATAGTTTTATTACTAAATTAGTTGGGGCGTTTCCTTTATGTAATTGATGGGGCTTTACACTTCAGGGCTTGATGGGTTAGGATGTGGATTAATTCTACAGAACTGAGATCTACTGAATCACAAAGGGAAATCATTAAATAGGATGAGGTAGATGAAATGTTTCATCGGCTGATAGCCACTGTACCAATGGCTGACGCTATTCTTACTGTTTGGTTATGGAGTCCCAGAGTCGTGGGGCTTTGAGCGTGTAGATACCAGATCTGCAGGCTTTGTCGGAGCCACTGCCTTTGGGATGGTTTCACTGGTGCGGAAGTCTCCCTCTGGCCTCTACACATCGCTCTTTCCCCTCTGGCCAGTTTCTCATGCACAGAGTGGTTATTTACAAACATAAATCTTATTATGTTGGGCGTCAGTCGCTTCCCACCATCGTGGGCTGCAGTCCACAGTTCTTGTGTGGGTCATAAGACCCTCTTCCAGTTAATATGGTGGTTCTGCAAACCACCCCACAAACTTGGCGGCTGCCACAGACAGAGCATTTATCTCCCACTGAAATTCATACGTTGAGTCCTAACCCCCAACGTGACGGTGTTTGGAGGTGGGACCAAAGGGAGGGGATTAGGTCGTGAGGGAGGAGCCCACTTGCATGGGTTTAATGCCCTTGTAAGAAGAGACTGGGTGAGCTTGTTCTCTCTCAGCCGTGTGAGACACAGCGAGAAGTCTGCGACCTGGAAGAGGGCCCTCACGCAAGCATGCTGCCACCCTGATCTCGGACTTCCCAGCCTGCAGAGCTGTGAGAAATAAATATCTGTTGTTGACAAGCCACCTACTCCATGGCATTTTTGTGATGGCTGCCTGAATGGCCTAAGTGGCTTAAAAACAAGACCATTTATTTTGCTGACAGGTCCACAGGCCAAGTAGGGGGTGGGCACCGCTCACCTCCATGCTGCTGAGTGTGACGTGGGGCAGACTGGAGGCTACGAGCTTGCACCACCCCAGGGCTCGCTGACTCACTCGTCTGAGGTCTGGGCCGGGCTGATCCAGACAGGAGGGGCTGGAGCGCTGAGGCCCCGGAAGGCCGCTTGCTCGCTCTCTGATCTCCCCGTGTGCGTTCTCCAGGGGCAGCTTCAGTGCGGCTGGACTCTTACGCGTTGACTCGCGGTGACTCAGGACCGTGTCCTGAGACGATAGAGCCCAGCTGGAAGCAGCACCCCTTTCCTGACTGGCCTTAGAAGCCGTACTGTGTCACTTCCCTTGCAGTCACAGGCCTGCCCGGATTCCGGGGGAGGGGACATGGACCCCAGCTCTCAGTGGAGGAATGTCACCTCACATGCTAAGATCATGCTGAACAGGATACATCCAAGGCGCCGTCTTTGGAAAATACAATTTGCCACAGTCCGCTCTCTGACCAGGAAATTCACATCCCTTCCATGTGTAATGACGTGATCCCCTGCACCAAGATCCCCAAAGCTCACCCTCGCATGGTGTGGTGTCAGTTTTGGGCTCCAGGTTCAGGACACATACCCACACACCAAAGAGAGGATGTCTTCCCCAGATACCCAACATGCAGTGATGGGCAGGCCTAGGGTAAGTGCTATGGAGTCTTGTGTTGGTCAGAGCCACTAGGCTGTACATATTTATACAGAGAGAGAGAGATTTATGTCCACGTGTTGGCTTGTGTGATTGTGGGAGCTGGCAAGTCTGAAATCTGGCAGGTGGGCTGCCAGGCGGGAGACCCAGGCAACAGCTCATGCTGGAGCTCGAGTCGGAAGGCCGTCTGTCTGGAATTCTCTCTACCTGGGAGGACCTCAGTGTTAGACTGGATGAGGCCCACGCGCAATAGGGAGGGCAATCTGCCTCACTCCAAGTCTACCGATTTAAATGTTAATCTCTGCTAAAAAATACCCTCACAACAACATGTAGACTGTTGTTTGAGCAATTATCTGGGTACCATGGCCCAGCCAAGCTGACATATATAATTAAGCATCACAACCCTCCTGTTCAAAAGGGGAATGTGGAAGGCACTCAGTGGTCTCTGGCCCGTGGCAACCCCGGATTGCAGTCCGGCTCAAGTTGGCAGTTCCTTGATGGGGCTTGGTTGTAATTCCTGGGAATGACTTTCCATTGCTCTTGGCTCTGCCTTCTGGATTCCTGGATCTGCTCTCCAAGTCATCCTTCCTTTTCCATAAGACATGCCTGGTGTTTGCAGCCGAGTGGTTTTCTCTGCCTGCTTCCTGTTTTCATTTTGCGCTGTCTCTGTCCCATTTAGTCCAAGCTGGCATTGTTTCTTCCTGTATAATTATCTTAAAAGCCTTGTGGGTTTTTTATGGATCTATTGGGATTCATGCCATTAGACAAAAGCTACACCCACAAATCTCATTAACATAAGTCCTTTCTCTACTTTAGACTTCCTGCAAGGCTGCTGTGAAAAAATGTCCTTAAATTCCTGAAGTTCTATTATTTATTGATGAGCATCTGCCAGGCATGCCCTTAAGATCCTCAGGGGGCCTTTTGTCTGGCCCTTCTCTGCAGCACCCTGTCAGGCATTGATGAGGTCTTAGGCGATCTGATTGTGCCTCCTGGGTTTGATCTGTGCTCTGAAGCCCTTTCTTAATCTGGCAATCGTGGAGAGGCTGGGAAAAAGAACCAGTTTTAATTTTGAACCCAGCAAGGCCCGGTTTCTTTATATTTGCTCCAAGTCTCACTTGAGAACCGAACGATTCCTTTTTCAGATCTTCTCTCTCCTCTCTCATTTTATCACGTCATCGAGAAAAGGCTCACAGGCAGGATGCCCAAGAGCCCGCCTGGAAATCTCCACGAGATCCAGTCCGTTCAGTCCAGTCGTGTTCTCTGCTTTAGTGCAGGCCCCAGTGCTGCCAGGCTCTCTGCTGCTCCATCCCAAGGGCCCGGGAACCCTGTCCTCGCTTCCCTCTTCCGTCTGTCACGGACTCCTCAAGGCCATTCTGACTGTGCCTGCTGCCCAGCTGGGAAGCCACTGCACGTGTCGGTTTCCGTTATGGCAGCACCCCAATTCCAGGTGGGGTGCATAACCAATCATTCCAAAACGTGCTGGCTTAAAGCAACAGTTTATTTTGGTCACACATCTGCAATCTGGGCAGGCTTTGCAGGAACAGTCGCTCAGAGTCAGTTGAGAAAAGCTCACAGGCTCTTCTGAAACCCGGGCCGCACACGCAAAGAGCGGGGCATCGCTCATCGTCTCTGTGGTCTCTCCAGCTGGGCACTCTGGTGCCACCCGATCTCTTACGTGTTGGCACAGGGAATCCAAGCTGCGGGTCCTCACACAGGAAGACAGCCAGGAGGAGGCTGCACTGCCACGTTCCACGGCCTCACTTCACCACAGCCGCAGGCCTCTTGGTTCATGAAGACTGGATATACATCCCGACACTCTGGGGGAGTGAACATCTTGTGAGAGGAGCAGACCATTGGGCTGGACCAGTGGGGCCACCCCAGAAACTACCTCGTGCCACGGCCCCGCACAACCCGGCCATCACCCCTCAGCTCCTGTTCCTCCTTGCTGTCCACGAGCCAGCGGGGACTGAAGCCGCTCTCTGGGTGTGGCATGTGCGGCCCTCAGCGTTGTCTCCTGCCTCCTCCCATCAGGTCTGCTTGTCCTGTCCATCTCAGCAGAAACTTTGCTCCCTCCGACGAGCTTCCCTACAGGTATGGGGGTCACTGGCATGTTATCCTCCCACCTTCCACGGTATATCTCAGGTTTTTGGTCATTCACGCCATCACGGATAATAGCGAAGGCCGCCGTCGTCTTCCCTAGGCCAGAATCTCCACGAGGGCAGGTTCTGCGCCTGTCCCGTGCACGGCGCATCCCAGTGTCTGGCACCGTGCGTCTGTGTGGAGCATTCACTGGGGCTCGGTGGCCGATTTATTAAGAAACCTTCAGCTTACAGCACCTCCTACAAAAGGCAGGCATCCCCACCATGGGACCCTTACCTCCAGGGTTCCTCGTGTCCGGCTCGCTCTTGTCTCCTTGGCCTGGAAGTGTGCCTAGCAGATAGCGGGCTCTTGTTACCTGTTTGTTGAATGACTGAATAAGTTCCTCAATGAGACAGAAGCCTGAGTGATAAAGGGCTCTGGGCAGCTCAGTTCCAGACGGTTGTGTCCACCAAAAGGCCTGTGGCTTCCCAGTCCCTGGTGGATGGAGATTCCGTGGCATAGGGGCGCTCACCTCCCTGGTCCTTGGGCCAGGGAAGACAGGTGTGCGTGTGGCGTTACGTCCCAGGGTCAGAGAGCAAATATGAACCACGACTGGAGCGACAGGCTCGCGCATCAGTTTCAGTGACGGCTTGGCCGTTTATTCATTCTGTCACTTGGCACAAGCCGCTCCGGTGCGCAAACTCCCGCTCTTCCGAGAGGAGAAGGAAATCACTCGTTGATTGAATAAGGAAGTACGATTAAACATTTTGAGCCATATATAATCATTTTGATGTCGAAGTCAAGATATAAAATAAAGAACAATATCTTCATTTCTTTTGTGTCAGACAGACAGCACCACGGTTCACTTTTAATGCGAGCATTCCTCCCATTCACTGTATTCATGAGACCTGATGCAAGACTTGGTGTTTTTGGGAGAACGTTAAGATAAAGATGAGGCCCTATTTGTGTGCCACACGGAATGAGGGGAAGCACCAGTGGGAAGCTTTTCCGGGGAACTGGGGCAGCTGCGGCCTCTTGCTCATGTCATGGTGCCCCCAAGGGCCCCCCCGGGCATCATGAGAGGTTGCAATCGGGGATCTCAGGCTGCTTCCACGTGGCCC